GATATTTTAAACAAAAATCAAATGAAGATAAATTATTTTACTGGGATTTTCAAGTTGATGACAATGGTAGGATGTGTAATTTTTTCTTTAGAGATGGTCATTGTAGAATAGATTATAAAGCATTTGGTGATGTGCTTTAAACTGATACCACTTATCGAACAAACAAATACAATTTAATATGTGCACCTTTCATAGGCATAAACCATCATATGCATAATGTGATGTTTGGATTAGCTTTTACGTCGGATGAAACTGCATCTTCTTTCCATTGGTTGTTTAGTACATCTCTTACATCCATGAGTCGTAAACAACTTGAAACAATTTTTTCAGATCAATGTCAAGCTATGATTAATGTCATTGAGTAATCAAAATGCTCCATCTCATTTTGTGTTTTAAATAATAATTTTGAATTTAAAAATTTATTTAATAAATGCATGAAATTTTGTGAGTTTGAGCAAGAATTTGAAGAAGTATGGCAAAATATGATTGTTGATTATAATCTTCATAATCATTCATGGCTTAATAACATGTATAAATTATGACATATTTGGTCTACTGCATTTAGTAATCATAGATTTAATGCCGGACTAAAAGCTACTTCAAGAAGTGAAGGCACAAATTATGTTTGAATACGTACAAATATTTGATAGAATTCAAAATAAGTGGCGACATGATGAAAATGAAGATGATTTCAAAGGTAGCCAAGGAGCACTTACACTGCATCAATTTATACTCACAAAATATATGATATGTTTCCGCTACAGTGATTAAACTCTCTATCTATTGATTTTGATGGGTATCCTGCTAATTACAATATATTTTTTGAGTTCAATATACGATCTCAAAATACAAATCGGCTCCACAAGGTTAAATTTGATGCGACATATAATGATGTAAAGTGCTCGTGTCAATATTATGAGTCAGTTGGTATATTATGTAAGCATTCATTATTAGTTTTTAATCAAATGAATGTTCATGAGATACGATTGCAATATATAAAGAAATAATTGACTATACATGCGAGTAATAGAATGCAATATAGAGGAGAAAATGCACTTAAAAGTGATTTTGAATTGAAAACAATATATGTTAACCATATAATGAGACGTTGTCAAGATATTTGTATACAAAGTAAAGCCTACCCAGATGCTAGAAATTTAGTGAGAGATAGGCTTGATGGTGTTATTTATAAATTAAAAATAATACTTGATGAATTAAAAGTGCATAAGATGATTTTCAGCCTGAAAATTATACTAGTGAAGCTTTAAATATTGATAGTTGCACCACTAGTGAAGAAAATGTTCATAATCCTCTTTACATGAAGCCAAGAGGAGTTAGCAATGCTCGTTTGGCCAATCATTGAGATCTCAAAAATAAAAAGAAAAATGTAATCTTTAATTGTGTTTAAAAATATTAATATACTTTAAATTTGAAAACTTATTAATTTTGATTAAAATATATAATTTCTTATCTCATTAATATTTATATTTTCAAATTATTGTTATGGGAAAAAGTTTAACCAGTACAAAAAGAAAAACTCAAAGTTCTCAGTTGTACGGGAAGACTTAAGAATGGATACACATGACTTGGATTGGAAATTTCTACGGTTGCATGCTTTTGCTACTGTTGCAATTGTCAATTGTTTATGCTTCTGCTGCTACACACTTCTGCTATTGATTCTTGTCTATTGTTTGTTGCTTTTGTTGTTGCTACACGCTTCTGCTACTAGTGTTTCTACTGTTGCATGCTTTTGTTACTGTTGCAATTGTCGGTGTTTCTGCTTCTGCTACTGTTGCTGCTACACACTTCTGCTATTGATTCTAATCTATTGTTGGTTGCTTCTGCTGTTGTTGCACACTTCTGCTACTGGTGCTACTGTTATTTGCTTGTGATGTTACACACTTTTACTAGTTTCTTCTATTGTTAATTGATTTTGTTTATGTAGGCTTCTGCTTCTCTTTTTTCTTATTGCTTATGGTATTGCTTTCCTTGTTGTTTAGATGATTTTTGTTGTTGTTAATGTCATAATTTTACTCATGCTTATGTTGTTAATAGGATGATTGATGTTTTTATTAGTTGCACAATTCTATTGTATATGTAATTAATCTTGATGAAATTATTTACAAAAATCCAGCAGACATTTTCTTATATTCTTTTTAAATATCCACATCTATGCATTAAACTAATTGTATAGTTCTATTAAGAAAGTATTGGCATTTAAGTGCCTACATTTCACAAAACTTGTATGTTGTTGTTTGACAAGTAAAATAGACAATTGCTTCAAACTTGACTGAAATTTTTAATATATGATAAGTAATGTATAAAAGAAACCAAACAAAGCAGACACCAATCATAACACTAAAAGATTGATAAATTGATACTTTTGTCGTACAAACAAATACAACCCAAGAGAAGAATTTTGTAAGTGTTGAGATATTTTAGATATTCTGTTTTAGATTTAGTAGATTTATATCTAGATTTGATCGTATCCATAGATTAGATTACTTAGATTTGACTTTATCGAGTATGTTTTGTATTGCCTATATATAGGCTTCTTATTTTGATGATCAAAAAGACAATTTCATTATTTTCCCCCAAATTTTCTAACATGGTATCAGAGCCTATTTTTCTCATGTCGTAGATATAGTCTACCAACTCGTGTTTCTCCGGGTACATTCAACCTGGATTGTACTAAGAGGTTTTGGGATTTTGAGTTCATCATTTGCAAGTTGTCTTTTTGAAAATCTGTCTCGTCTCGTCTCCGATCTGCCATATGTCCGCTGCTTGTTTGTTGCCTGTGTGCAATCTGAAATCTTCGCTGCTTGTCTGTTGCCTACGAGCGATCTGAAACGATTTTCCATATGTCCGGTATCTGTCTATTGCTGCGTGCGATCTGCCATCTGTCGTTGTCTGTCTGTTGCTGCGTGCGATCTGCCATCTGTTGTTGCCTGTCTGTTGTCTGCGTGCGATTTGTCATCTTTCGTTGCTTATTTGTTGCCGGAAATCTATCTATGATTTGCCATCTGTCCGCTGTTTGTCTGTTGTCTGCGTGCGATCTAATCTGTCCGATGTTTGCGGTTTGTCTGTTTTCGGCTCCAATGGTCATATGGTTTTCGACTCCGGTGGAGAGTCATCTCGTTTTCGGCTCCGGTGGAGCGTCATACCGTTTTTTCGGCTCCGATGGAGTCATTTCGTTTTCGGTTCCGGTGGAGTCCTGTCATTTTCGGCTCCGGTGGAATCATCTTATTTTCGGCTCCGGTGGAGTCATGTCGTTTTCGGCTCCGGTGGAGTCATGTCATTTTTAGCTCCGGTGGAGTGATGTCATTTTCGGCTCCGGTGGAGTCATCTCGTTTTCGCCTCCAATGGAGTTATGTGGTTTTTGGCTCCGGTGAAGTTATATGGTTTTTGGCTCAAGTGGAGTCATCTCGTTTTTTGCTCCGGTGGAGTTATCTCGTTTTCGGCTCCGGTGGAGTCCTGTCGTTTTTAGTTCCGGTTGAGTCATCTCGTTTTCGGCTCGTTTTCGGCTTCGGTGGAGAGTCATCTCGTGTTCAGCTTTGGTGGAGTCATGTCGTTTTCGGCTCCGGTGAAGTCATCTCGTTTTTTTGCTCCGGTGGAGAGTCATCTCGTTTTTTCCTCCAGTGGGTGTGGAGAGTAACTGCTAATTTTATTTATGTTTTATTTTTGTGTTTATATTCAAATTTTTTTATCAAAAACTAAGTTGGTTTATGTTATACCTGAGTTTGAAGGGGGTGTTTGAGATATTTTAAATATTCTTAGATCTTATTAATAGATCTTATTAGTTAGATTTGAGTTTATGTCTGTTTTGTACTTTGTATATATAACTTTCTTATTTTGATAATGAAAAAGACAATTTTATTATTTTCTCCATCCCCAAATTTTCTAACAATAAGTATAAATAATGCCAATACTATAAAATAATCAAAATCATGATTATCCACCTATGAATTCCATCAAAATTCAAGTCCTTTATTAAACAATCAAAATCATAATTATCCCGCCTATGAATTCCATCAAAATTCAATTTCTATATTATAATAAAAGTAGATACAAAACAATGTAAATGCTTTGCAACCATTTTTATATCCATTGCAGAAATGCAAAATCTTGTCCAAATAAGAAATAGTAAACAATAAAAAAAAATAAAACATAACAGAGAAAACTTTCTCAGTTGAAAAACCCTGAAGCTCAAACAATTAGGGCAAGGGCAAGGGCCGCTTGCGAAAATGGAAGACAGCAATGGTTCCAATATAGACCAGTGACTGTACTGTCAGTTTTTTTTACCTGTTGGAGCAGAAACCTTTTGCCGCACCAACCCTCGAACAAATCCTTATGAAATTGGGAGAAATATACAACCGAACCATACAATTTTTTTTTAAATGATACCTATACAGAAAGATTAACTAATAACTAAAAAAATAAAAAAAAAAATTAGTTTTTCCAGATTGCGACGAGGGGCAACCGGAACACAGGTTCAGAATGCAGGATCGAGCCGTTGTTGTGCCACATGTAAGTGTAACCATCAAGGTTCTAGAGTTATCTTTGAGGGCTTCATCTTCTTTTTTATTCTTGGGCTAGTAAATTGAATTCAGTAATGATGAGTTGTTAGATGAACGAGACACTGCATTAACAGACCAGACGTAGCTACTCTTGATCACTTCGATCTTCGTACCATTTGATTTTCCCACGCAAATTGTCAAAGTCTCCTCACCTTCAACTCTCTCTCTCTCTCTCTCTCCCTCTCTTATTCGTCATTTAATCGATTAATTAATTGCCTTTTTGCAGCTGATGGATCGCTCATCATCATCACTCATCAGGAACTGTATCGTCCTTCCTTCCCAACTGCTTCTAATTCTGTCTCTCTCTCTCTGAGTCTCTCTCACTGTTTGTTCTTAGCTTCGAACAAAATCAAACCCATCCATCCATCCGTCGGGGAAGAGGAGCTCAGTTGGATTTGATATTGCTCGTTGAAATAAACTAAAATGGAAATCAATAATAACAATTATAATGAGAGAGATGATCATGGCTTCATCAATTTGGTGTTTTCATGGTCCCGTCAAGACGACATCTTTAATCACAATCTCTACAGGCATCAGGTTCTTCCTTCCTTCCTCCCTTCTCTCTCACAATGTTCTTACAATTTATTACATTACACTTATGTGTGTGTCATTTCCTACATTAGGTGGAGACGATTCCGGATGTGTTTGGAAATGTCGATGAATATCTTGGTTCATATTTCTTCCCATTTCTGGAAGAAACTCGCTTCGAACTGGCTTCTGCCTTCGAGGATGCCTACAGAGCACCATATGCGAATGTAACTCGGCTTCATGAGTGGAAGAAGAAGGATAAATTTTACGACGTGAACGTAGATCATTGGAGGAACATTGTCAAAGATAGCGATGGAAAACGATACAGAACCTTGCCGGGGGACATTCTCCTGATTTCGGACAGGAAACCAGAAACTGAATCTGATATGCGGCGTACTGGTTGGACTTATACATTGGCATCTGTAATACAAGTTTCTGACAAACAAGGTGATGACGATGAAGAAGGTGACGATGCCATTTCATCACCCGTTGCATTCAAAATGGAAACAGCTGTCGCCATGGACGTCGAGTTTGTAAAAAACAGGTCATTTTATGTCATTCACTTAATGAATGTGACCTCCAATAAAAGAATCTGGAATGCACTTAGGATGCATCGGAATATGAAGATCATCTCAAAAGTGTTGGACAGGAATGCCTTGGATGATGAAGTCTGTGAATTCTGTCATCCCAAATCAGAGGGCGAAATGGGAGAGATTCTTGGCTCTGTTTTAATGTCGAAGCTGAATGAATCACAGAGGGAGGCGATTTTCGCGACTCTGTGCAAAATCGAATGTGACCACAAGCCATCTGTGGAGCTCATCTGGGGGCCTCCAGGAACTGGAAAAACTGCTACACTAAGTATGTTGTTGTTTGGGCTATTGAAAATGGGCGTTAGGACATTAGTTTGTGCACCGACGAATGTGGCGATTACTGAACTGGCCTCGCGGCTTGTGGCATTGGTGAGGAACTCTGTCGAGGATGACGTGATTTGTCCTTTAGGGGACATTCTTCTCATGGGAAATAAGGATAATCTGAAAATTGGATCAGACATTGAGGAGATCTTCTTGGATAACCGTGTTAAAGCTCTCTTCAATTGTTCCCTTGCTGCAACTGGCTGGAGGGGATCGGTTTCGGCCATGCTTGATTTTCTTAACAATGCTGTGGCTCAACACGAAGTCTATGTAGAAAATGAGCTCATCAAAGTGAAGGAGGGTCTACATGATGATGGCCAGGAACCTGCTATCAAATCATTTCTAGAATTCGCCAGGGAAGGAGTCGAAAAGGTGGCCCCAAATCTACGAAGTTCGCTGATAACATTAGTTACTCATCTCCCAAGAAGTTGCATTTCCGAGAGCAATGCTCAGATGATTGAGCAGGTAATATCTCTTCTTGAGTCCATGAAAATTTTGTTGTTAGATGATCGTAGCATGACATCCGAGAAGTTGAAGAGGATCTTTGAAGCAAGTGGTTCGGAGGAGTCAGTAAGCGCATCATCCTTTGTACGTATCAGAAGCCAGTGCATTTCGATTTTGAAGTATCTGAACTCGTCCCTCACCGAGCTTGTTAACAATGGAATTGCAAGCAAAGATTCATGTATAAAAAATGCTAGGTTAATATTTTGCACGGTTTCATCCTCCTACAAGCTGCATTCAGTTGATACGGAGAAATTTAAATTGTTGGTCATCGATGAGGCTGCGCAAGTGAAGGAGGCTGAATCGATCATCGCCCTTCAGATCCCTGAGGTGACACATTGTGTTCTTGTGGGCGACGAATGCCAACTAACTGCGATGGTCAGCAGCGAGGTAATCATTATGTTATATATGCTTTTTTTCTATAATCTTTTTACAGCATTACATGGATTTCTTTTTTTACTTGCAGTTGGCTAAAGAAGCTGGCTTTGCAAGAAGTCTTTTCGAAAGATTAAGCTCATTGGGTCATAAGAAACATTTACTTAACATGCAATACAGAATGCATCCATTAATTAGTCGGTTCCCCAATTCGACTTTCTACAGCAACCTCATATTAGATGCACCTGTTGTGCGACGTGAAAGCTATGAGAGAGACTACCTTGAAGGTAGGATGTTCGGTCCTTATTCCTTCATGGACATTCGTGGAGGAAAAGAGGAATTTGACGAGGTCCGCCGCAGTAGAAGGAACTTGGTCGAGGTAGCCGTAGCTGTGAATATTGTGCATAAACTCTTTAAAGGTTGGTATATATGCACAGAATGTGCAAAGCTTAAAACAATCAGATTCATCTATTGTATATTAGTTTTTGTTAACGACGAATGCATCCAACATGTTTTCTTATTTGTCGAACAGCATGGAAGTCTAAATCTCCTACAGAGAAACTTAGCATTGGTTTAGTGTCTCCCTACAATGCTCAAGTTGCGGCTATTCGAGATAGACTTGGAAAGAAGTATGAAAATTTTGATGGCTTTGTTGTTAAGGTGAAGTCCGTCGATGGGTTTCAAGGCGGCGAAGAAGATGTCATAATCATATCAACTGTAAGGTCGAATAACATTGAATCCATTGGTTTCTTGTCTAGTCTTCAACGAGCAAACGTTGCATTGACCCGAGCACGGTATGCAATTTCAGTACATCATTCTTATTCCATATTTTGTATTGAATGAGTATTTGATTCTTGTTTCGTACTTTGTAGGCACTGTCTCTGGATTTTAGGAAACGAAAGAACATTGTGCAAACCAGGTTCAGTATGGGAAGCTTTGATAAATGATGCCAAGCTTCGTGACTGCTTCTTCATTGCCGATGAAGATGAAGATATTGGAAAGACTATCGTAGATGTCAAGAAAGATTTGGATCAGCTCGACGAATTTCTCACTTCGGACAGTATACTATTTCAAAAGTGCAGATGGAAGGTAACAGATTTGCTTTTAATTTCAAAACTGAGCATGAATCTTGAAGCTATTTTGTTCACTTCCATGCTCTTATATCTTCAGGTTATATTCAGCGACAACTTCCGAAAGTCATTTCAGAAGTTGAAGCCTTCATATGTTAAGAGGCTCGCAGTGAGTCTATTAATTAAACTTGCAAGTGGCTGGAGGCCGAAAATAAATGTCGACTGGACCTGTGAGAACTCTTTGCATATTGTGAAACGATTCAAGGTTGAGAGGTACAACATTTTGTGCACCATTGATCTCACAAAAGAGTCGAACTACAAGCAAGTTTTGAAAGTTTGGGACATTTGTCCGGAGGCAGAGGATCGAAAAGCCTTGGAACGCCTCGATGCAATATTTGCCATGTTTACGGATGATTTTATCAGCCACTGCAACGAGAAACTAGTCGAGGGGTAAGGCATTTTGATCATAGTCCAAATGGAGTGTTCTAATGAGCTTATCTTCGATTGCCTATTGTTATTATTTTGTTTTCAGGACTTTGGAAGTTCCGAAGACTTGGTTGAAAGGTAAGGATATAATCCGTTACAAGAATGCAAGTGATGCTAACTCCAGCGACAGCAAAAGTGCTTCTGCTGCCGACTGCGGAAGTTGTGTTGAGAATTCGAAAGTTAATGAAAGCTTGCTGTTGATGAAATTTTATTCCTTATCAAGTGACACTGTCAATCATTTACTGTCTGATGCCGAGGATCAAGAAGTTGATCTCCCGTTTGAGGTCACCGATGAGGAGCGTGACATCATAGGATTTTGTCGGAGCAGCTTCATACTGGGAAGATCTGGCACAGGAAAAACAACTATTTTAACTATGAAGCTTTTCATGAAGCTACAGCAGTACTGCATTGTTTCTCGAGATTTTCCAATGTCGATTGGATTGAGGGGCAGTGTTGACAATGTTTTGCGCCAGCTTTTTGTTACCGTTAGTCCTAAGCTCTGTTTTGCGGTAAGAAAGCACGTATCTCGGCTGAAAAGGTACGTTACACAGTTCTGATGCAGCATTGCTTCTATTATTGCAGATTGTTAGCATTTTTAAACATTATGTCTTAATCTTAGCTATTGATACAGGTTTGCAAGTGGAGGCTTCGTTGGAGATGACGATGTCGAAGACATAGATGACATGATCGGGTTTAAAGATATTCCGGACACTTTTGTTGGCATCAGTGCAGACAAATATCCACTGGTAATAACATTTCACAAGTTTTTGATGATGCTCGATGGCACGATTGGGAATTCATATTTCGAGAGGTTTCGTGAGCTCCGATGTTCCCCTCAAGATGATGGTGGAAGATCAGTTGCGCTGGATGCGTTCCTAAGGAATAATGAGGTCACCTTCGACCACTTCCGGTCGTCCTACTGGCCTCATTTCAATTCTAATCTCACAAAGAGCCTTGATCCTTCGAGAGTGTTCACTGAAATCATGTCTCATATCAAAGGAGGTCTTCCGGAAGGTGAAAACTGCGACAGCAAGAGAAGCAGAGATGCTTACCTTTCTTTGTCTGACAATCGAGTGTCGACATTAAGTGTAGACCAAAGGGATATGATATATGACATCTATGAGAGCTATGAGAAAATGAAAAAGACTCGCGGCGAATTTGATATGGCAGACTTTGTGTTGGATGTTCATCGCCGGCTGGAAGAATCAGGGGATCTTCCCGGCGACAAAATGGACTTTGTCTACATTGATGAGGTGCAGGACCTCACCATGAGACAAATATGCCTTTTCAGGTATATATGCAGCAATGTCGACGAAGGTTTTGTTTTCTCTGGCGACACAGGGCAGACTATTGCTCGAGGGGTAGACTTTCGGTTTGAAGACATTAGATCTTTATTCTACAATGAGTTTTACATGAAGTCGAACAGCTCTAAATCTTCGGAAAGAAATGTGAAAGGGGTGATATCTGATATCTTTAGCCTATCACAAAATTTCCGGACTCACATTGGAGTACTTAGATTAGCACAAAGTGTAACTGACCTCATTTCCCATTTCTTCATACAATCCATTGATGTTTTGGCTCCAGAGACGAGTCTCATATATGGCGAGCCCCCTATTTTTCTGGAACCTGGCTGCGATGAGAACTCGATTATACCAATTTTTCAGAATAGTGCTAGTGCCGGTGAACAATGGGTTGGATTTGGCGCAGATCAGGTCATACTCGTAAGAGATGATTCTGAAAAAATGGAAATCTCGAAGTATGTTTGCAATCAAGCTCTTGTTCTCACGATACTTGAGTGTAAAGGCCTCGAGTTTCAGGTCAGCTGACAATGTGTTTAAATTTGTTTCTTCTGCATGTCTTCATCATATGCTCTGACACCTTTTTGTGTATTTTGCAGGATGTTTTGTTGTACAACTTTTTTAGTTCTTCGCCTTTGAGGAACCAGTGGAAAGTTGTGTACGAATTTTTGAAAGAAAGAGAGCTTCTTGATGATGACTCTCCCAAGTCCTTTCCGAGCTTTAGCCAATCAAGGCACAATTTGTTGTGCTCTGAGTTGAAGCAACTTTATGTTGCAATTACCCGAACTCGGCAGAGGCTGTGGATCTGTGAGAACACTGAGGAAATGTCGAAGCCAATGCTCGATTACTGGAAGAAACTGTGCCTTGTGCAAGTGAGGAAGCTCGATCACTCGCTCGCGCAAGCTATGCAAAGGGCGAGCAGCCCCGAGGAGTGGAAGTCTCAAGGAATCAAGGTATGGTTGAAGATCATTTCTTGGTATTCTAATGTTTTTGATTAATCATTTTGACGATCACGCTATGTTTTTGCAGCTATTTATGGAAAATAACTTCGAGGTTGCATCTATTTGCTTCGAAAAAGCCGGGGAAGTAAAGTGGGAGAAACGGGCTAAGGCTTCTGGTCTTAGAGTTTCGGCCTTATCTTTGAGAGGTTCAAATTCTTTCGAGGCGCGAATGATGCTTCGAGAAGCTGCCGAATTATTTCATTCCATTGGCAGAGATGAATCTGCAGCAGAATGCTTTTATGACTTGGAAGACTATGAAACAGCAGGTTAGTTATAAACATCGAACTTTTCAGTTTGATATATATATATATATGTTGTTGTCGATAGTCCAGCGCTGAAGTCGGTTTTGGATTTCAGGAAATATATATAGGCAGATGCACGGCGTGTCTGAGTTAAGGAAAGCCGGCGAATGTTTTTGTTTAGCTCGAAATTACAAATCTGCAGCTGAAGTTTTCGCGGAGGGGTACTTTTTCAAGGGGTGCTTGACTGCCTGTGTTAATGGAGGCCTTCTCGACCTGGGGTTGCAATTCATCGAGTCGTGGAAGCAGGAAGCGACACGAAGTAGCTCAATCGTGGCGAAAGCCAATGAGATCAACAATATTGCATATGAATTCTTGGTAAATTGCGCCGAGATCTTTCACAAGAGAAATGACAGTGTAATGATGATGAAGTTCATCGGAGCTTTTCCAACAATGGAGTCCAAGCGCAGCTTCTTAAGGTCTAAAGAACGCCTCCACGATCTATTAGTTTTGGAGGAAGCATTGGGAAACTTTGACGAGGCCGCAGGTATTGCAAAGCATCTTGGGAATACTATGCGTGAGATCGATATACTTGAAAAGGTAGAACAGTTCAAAAATGCTGCATCACTTGCTCTGTGTTATGTGCTATCGAATTCTCTATGGCTGCCCGGAGGAGGTAAGGAATGGCCACTCAAATCGTTCCCGGAGAAGGAAGTCTTTTTAGCTAAAGCAAAATCGATTGCGCAGAGAGTTTCCGAAGCATATCATTCTTCAGTCTGCTCTGAGGCGCGAGTTTTGTCCCATGAGACGACAAGCCTACCTGAATCGATGCAGTGCTACATCGATTCGAAGAAAAATGGGACTGATGTAGGCGAAGTTATCGCCATCCGGAAGCTTCTAGATGCTCACTTTGAAGTACTTCCTGCGAATCTGAAAGGCGAGGACGAAGTTGATGTTACTCCAGATTTGTTTGAGGCAAGGATTTTGCGGAATCATGTCTCGATTGCTACGCTGTTTTACGTCTGGAATTTATGGAAGGCGAAGAGTTTGGAGATCTTGGAATGCTTGAACTCACTCGGGAGTATGGTATTCATCGAATGCGAAGGCTTTGTTCGATTTTGCTTCAACTATTTCGGAGTGAGGTTGCTCGATGATACGAGTTTAAAATGCATTGTGCTGAATCGTAATGCCGCGTGGTTGAAGAATGTCGACGGGAACTCTGTGATGCACAGCGGAAAGCTAATGACACTCGATGCTCGCCATTTTGCATCCGCAGCTCGGAAGCATTGGCAGCAGGAATTTCTTTCTGTGGGATTACGGGTGCTGGAAATTCTGAAATCATTTTACACGCATCCTGCGTCGAAAGGCTTGTCCAAAGACTGTTTGAGCGTCTGCCTGATTTATATTTTCGACATTGCGAAGTTCTTCATCGAGAACAAATCGTATGATGCGAGAAAACCCGAAGCTGGGAAGCTGCAACACTATGTGTCCCTTTCGACGAATTACTTTGAAAACGCTTTCCCTTTGGATCCGCGGCAGTCCTTGTCCGAAAACATGGTTTATACGAGGGCAACTCAACTTTCGAAGAATCTTCTCGAGCATGTCATCTATTCAAATATTATACATTCGCGGTATAACATCACGTACAGGCAATTCGGACAAGTCGCGATGATCCTTCTGGGATCGGGCTTGCCTTCCGGCGACATTTGTTCCCTAATTTCCGAAAAGTTTGGGATGAGTTCGACAAGTTTGAGGCCTTTCTTTGAGAATCTTGTCGATTATTTGCGATCTGGATGCGTAGACGGAGTGAGTTTCTGGCTTTACAGAGCATTAGAGGAAGCTTACAATGTGAACTGGATTTCGAAGGATTATATATCTCCGAAGTGTTTCTTCTATCTCGTCGAAAGGCTTTTGATTTTGGTTCCTTACGGTTCGAGCTTCTTCTTCGCTTCGAAATCTTCATTTTCCGAGTATTTATTGTGTCTGAATTCTGATGCGAATCCGGCTGCATTGTTGCTTTCGAAGGAGCAGCCCGACGCAAGACATGCTCTGAGTTTTGTCTACGACTGCATTCATCGATGTCTGAACGACGCTATGTGGACTGGGAATTGGATCGAGGCTTCGGGGATCGACTGCAAGTACTATTTTCGAGTGCTGCTGCTGAGGTTGTTTGTGATTCTCCTTGTTCTATGTCTGAACTCGGGGTTCGAGATGTATGCGGTTACTAAGTTGCTGAGACTGCCGTACATCAGATCAGAGCTGCCGAATAAATTTTGTAATGTGCTTTGTAATGGGAGGATATACAACGAGGAGTCGAAGGTGGATGTTGTTGCGGCGGCGTTCAAGTGTGTCGGCGATCCTCTTGTGGTAGTTTCGGTGACTGGGAATTGCCCGAAATGGTTGTGTCCGAAGGATGCCATTGCAATGGAACTGGAGTCGTTTAAGACGCGCGAAGAGGCCGTAAGAAGGCTTTTTCCTAGGAGAACAAATGTCGAGCTGCTGTCTCCTCCTCCACCTGTTCTTGTCTGTGACGGGTTGAACAGCAGCAGCACCATTGTTGAGTCGAAATCGAAGGATGATAATCCAGATGTTGACGAAGGCGCGAAGAGTATGGCCACTTTGGATTCAGATGCTGCTGCTTCTAATGGTGAATGCATCAGCAATGTTGTTGCAGACGAAGGCGACGAGGAAGACGAAGAAGAAGGTGAAAGTAGAGGTTCTACTGCTGTAGAGATTGAAGAAGATAAAGAAGAAGAAGAAGGTAATTCAGGAGATGGGGGTGGGGAATGCAGCAGTAGTCTGCAACATGAAAAGAATGGGAAGAAAAAGAGTGAGACTAAGAAGAAGAAGAATAAGAATAAGAAGAAGAAGAAATCAGGAAGAAGGGGAGGGTAAAAAATGACGTGAGGATGGATGATGTCCAAATTCAATGTATGTTTGTTTGTTTGTGTATTTAATTGATGCTTCACTTTGGCAATCAATCATACATAGTCTTTTGTTGTTGCTATCAGACATACCACTTTTGTTGGATCCACAACTAGAGTTGTTCCAACGAACGAGCTTGGTATTCATTGCTAGAGTTCAGACTCGACTCGAAATTGTTAACGCATAGTACGTACTCGACTTGGCTAGTTGAGGATTCGAATTTCAATAATGGCCCGAGTTCGGTTTGTTAGGTTCAAATTCAAGTTTGGATTCAGCTCGTAAGAGTTTGAACTCGAACTAGAGTTTAAATCTAACTTGAATTATTACATAGTCAAATATTTTTTAATATTTAAATTGAATATATTTATTATAATAAAATATTAAAATTTTATTAATAAATACTGATTTTACTATAAAAAATTATATTAATATATAAAATAAAATAAATATATAATTATTAATGAGCTATTCGTGAGTTGAGCTCGAATCCTTTTTTAGAAATGATAACTTTATATCTCTATAAACGAGTTAGTCGAACCGTTAACGAGTCGGATCAAATGTAATATCAATTTTAGTCTCAATATAAATATCTATCAATTTTAGTTTCATTATAAACAATTTAAATTAATTTTGTCATACAGTTAAAAATTTTACAAAAGTTTCTAACGTGGACATAACAGGATTGATTGGTGGCTCACTTGGACACAATATGATATACATGTCAATATTGTCACACAGCAGTGTTTAGTTGTACACAGCTATATAAATATCTATCAATTTATTTTTTGATCTAAAATCTTATTTTTTTTATTATGTTTCTTTTTGAAAAATATATATATATATATATAATAAATTTAGATAAATTGATATAGTTAAAAGAGAAAAAATCAATAATAGTCTTACTATAATTAAATCTTATCAATTTTAGTTTTCATTATAAACAAATTCAATCAATTTTGATTTTACCATTAAAAAATTAACAAAACTTGCTAAGATAAGCGTTACTGTAATATAAAAATACGGAATAGATCAAAAAGTTTATTAACGAAATAGAGTAAAAACACATATATTAGACTAGTTTTGGTTAGGTTCAGCCCCTAACCGCTCAAAACAAGTATCAACACTCTAAATACACACTTACTAGCGACAAAGACGAACGACCGGCCCAAGAGTTCGAACTACAAAAAGAAAAATAACCCCACAGACAACACAATAAGGCTTAAAGAAGCCTACTCTGTTGAACAAGCTCCTTTCGGCTATGAACAACACAAATCGGGATATATACGTGCCTTACAGCCTCCACAAAATATACAGGAGGTAAAGCACCAACAGAAACCGCCGCAAACCGCCGTAGAAAGAATGATATGGAGAGTGCTGGGTGAGGCCAGAGAGAGAAAGAGTGGTTTGAGAGAGAGAGCGTGAGTATAGAGAGAGAAAGAGTGGAGAGTGTAATATTCTGCGTCTCTCATCTCTCTGGATATATATATACATGATCAAAGAATAACCAACGGCCAGGATCAAGGATCAAGATCGGATGGTCAACGCTACACCTCAAAAAGACGCGGAGCCCCGACGGGTTAGGGTCAAGAGGGACGCGGATCCAGCTTGCGGTTTGGGTAGTAAATTGTGGGTGTAGTTCGTGGGTCCAGGCCAGGGTCAGTTCGGGCTGCATAATATGTGCGCGAGTGTTTTATATGGGGTGGATCTAATTGGATCAAAAAATCCAACAAATCCTCTATTTTTTTTTGTCCGAGTGGAACAGGGGATTCATCATTGCCCATATAATCTTTACCTGCACAAAAATAATGTTAGAACAAAACATTAACTTAGCCTACCTACCACTCTAAGTAATATGAGGCTAATCAAAAGTATCACAATGTATGTATGTCATACAAGATACAAATTTACTTGCAGGAAAAACTTTATTACCCATATCGGATGAATTATACTCAGATGGAATCTTTTCTAATTTTAAAATTCCTTTAGATACAATATTACGTATAAAATGAAAACGCACGTCAACATGTTTGGTCCTATCATGAAATACAGGGTTTTTGCACAACTGAATTCCCGACTGACTATCCGAAAAAACAGTAACAATATGTTGTAAATAACCTAATTCATTGATTAACCATTTTAACCACAATGCCTCTTTTAAAGCTTCAGTTATTGTAACATATTCATATTCGGTTGTGGATAGTGCTACAATGTGTTGCAACTGAGATTTCCAACTTATACAAGTTCCACACAAAGTAAAATATAAGAAGTTGTACTTTTTCTACTATCTTTATCATTTGCATAATTTGAATCCACAAAACCCTCTAATTTGATATTTTCAGTATGTTTTTCAAACACAAGACCAACATTAATTGTACCAATTAAATATCTAAACACCCATTTTAATGCATGACAATGTTCTAAATCCGGGCTCGACATATACTTACTTAAACAACTAATAGCATAAACTAAATTTGGCATAGTGCTAACCATTAAGTACTTAATGGAACCTACTGCATTAGAATATGACACATGTTTCATATATTCAAAATCAGATTCTGATTTGGGACATTGATCCCTACTTAACACAAAATTCGAAGTCATAGGAACAGAAACAGACTTAGCATTACTCATAGAAAATTTCTTAAGTATTTTCGAAATATAAGTAGACTGATATAAATCACTTTGGCATCACCCAACAATTTCATATCAAAATTATCACACAAACACTTAGTCACATTATTAATAAACTTTAAACATAGACTAATAATCAACATATCATCAACATAAATGAGAAGAAAAATAGGTTGGTTTTTAACAATCTTAAAATACAAACAATAATCAAATTTGGTTTTAATAAAATCAAGATTTTTCATGCAATTATCAAATTTGATATTCCATTGTCTAGGTGGATGTTTTAAACCATATAACGATTTATTTAACAAACAAACATGATTCATTTTATTTTTATCAATAAAACCTTCGGGTTGTTTCATAAAAATCTTCTCATTTAGTTCACCATGTAAAAAATCTGTTTTAACATCTAATTGTTTTAGCTCCCAATCATAAAATGCAACTAGAGCTAACATGACTCTAACAGTGGTAAATTTGACAACAGGTGAAAAAATTTCATTATAATCTATCAATTCCTTTTGGGTAAAACCCTTAGCTACTAATCTAGCCTTAAACCTAATTCCACTATCTTCTTATTTAACTTTATAAATCCATTTACAATCAATAAGAGAAGAATTAGGAGGTTTAGGAACCAAACACCAAGTCTTATTATCATATAATGAATCCATTTCTTCTTTCATTACTTTTACCCATTGATTTTTATTTTCAGAATTTATGGCATTTCTAAAAGTCTTAGGTTCATTACCATCTAAATTCTCAAATGCACTAAAAGCCAGAGAAGATAAATCAAAATCACCAAGCCTAGTAGGCAACCTAGGGATTCTTCTACCCCTATCTCTAGTTAATTGGTAATTTTCTAACTCATTTTGATTATCATTATCAAAATCAGATTCATTATTACTGTTATTTTCAGAAACAGACTCGTTTGGATTATTATTATCAAAATCATATTCATTTTGATTTTCAAACATGTTATTTTCACTTTCAAAAATATTTTCCTCTCTCAAAGCTGATCCTACACGAATTTCAGCATTATGTTCTGTATTTTCTACCTCACCTATACTAGCAATATTATACTCCACCTCATTTGGAGTATTATTAGAATCTAAATTTTCAATATCAATTTCAGATTTATGCAAAACAGATTTTTCAACATTTAAATAAGACATCTCATTTTCATTGAAAACAACATCTTTACTAACAACAATTTTAAAACCGGGTCTAGACCTTAACCATAATCTATAACCCTTAACTCCTTCCGGATAACCCAAGAAAACACATTTTTCAGCTCTAGGGTCTAACTTGTCATTATTAACACGTATAAAAGCAAAGCACCCAAACACCCGAATATTTGAAAAATCAATTTTCCTACTAGTCCACTTAAATTCAGGACAATCGTCATTCAACGGAATAGAGGATGATCTATTGACTAATATAAGTTGTTGTTATAACAGCTTCCCCCAAATTTTTTTTAGATAAACCGGATGAAGCCAAAAGGCTTCGAACTCTCTCCAAGAGAGTCCGGTTCATCCTCTCTACCACCCTATTGGTGAATAGAAGACAGTCCTATGCTTATTTATACCATTTTCTTGACAAAAAATATCAAACCAGGAGTGGCAAAATTCTAAACCATTATCAGTTCTAAGACATTTAATTTTCTTTGTTGTTTGATTTTCAATTTTATTTTTCCAATTTTTGAAAACATCAAACACATCAGATTTATTTTTCATAAGAAATACCCAGGTTTTTCTTGAAAAATCATCAATAATGGATAAAAAATATTTAGACCCACCATGTGTGGGCTCACTAGTTGGGCCCCACACATCAGCATGCAAACAATCCAATATAGATTTAGAAAAATCACGTTTTTCAGTAGGGGATAGGGAAATTGGACCCTATGGTGTTTACCACACATACAATTATTACAAAAGGACACATGATTAAATTTTACATTTCCTAAGGATCCATTTTTATGTAAAATTTCTAATCCTTTATTACTTAAATGTCCTAATCTTTTATGCTACAAATCACTATTCTCTTTAACAGAATTTATTGTGTTTACAGGCATATTAATTGGTTTAGCACAAGTAACGTAGAAATTATTACGTTTTACAGCTTTAAACACAACTAAAGATCCTTTAGTAATTTTCATACAATCATTTCCGCATTTTCCCTCTAATTCTAAATCTAATAAAGTAGCACAAGAAAGAAGATTATTTGATAAATCAGGTACATGTCTTACATTATTTAATTTTAACACAAAACCAGTGTTAAATTTTAGATTTACACTATCAATTCCAAGCACATTAGACACACTATTATCAGCCATGGAAACAATG